GAAGTCCTAGAATCATCAAAATCGTCTGACTCTAAACCAACCATCAGTTTTGCAGCTAGAGAACGTGAGGCATCAGAAGGTGAAGTGACTCGCCCAGAGCCATGCAGTGACAGAGGCAGAGACTTAACCACTGCCCTGACGTCGAGTCCAGGCCTCTTCTCACCTCTCTTGTGGCCAAAAAACAGCAGTATTTTGAAACTTTGAACCCCAAAGGAAGAAGTCAACATTTTCTAATCACTTTCAAACCAAAAGATGAATCTATTGGCCTCCATAATGGATTGGGTGAAAGGCAAGGAAGGGATCAAATGGCAGGGAATAAATGAATGGGGAGAGAGCCATTTATTTGTTTCTAGTTTTAAGGGTGATTGAGGTCTCATTAGGGGCTTACGAGGGACCGCCTGCTCAAAGTTTGGAGTTTTGCCTTCTGTGACTGCATCAGTGCCACGTGTTTAACCTGAAAAGTGGAGAAGATCTGCTTCACCCAGAGCCGGTGATATTGCATCAGCCAATCCCTGCTATTCGTCAGTTTCCTCATGCATCTGCCTGTTGTCACCGGGTGTTTCCTGCTGAACCTGAGCCTCTCCTCCAAGCCACATCAGCCCCTTCAAATCTTTCCTTCTGGGATTTTCCCAGAAATAAATCCTTGGTAGCAGTTATAAAAGTCCAGCTCCTCTAAGCAGAGCAACGCCCCTGGCTTCTACAGGAGACCAAGGCATTTGGCAGGTAAGAATCATTAACTTTAATTTTTCCTGGTTTCTGCAAAGTTGACGATGACATTTCCTAAAGTCTTCTCAGAAAGCTTGGTACGGGATTTGGACTTGATGGGCATTTTCTGGTCCCAGATTTGGCAGCCACTATGGTAGGTCATCCCTGTTTGATGTACGGGAGAATGTGTGTGATTATATCCAGTGTGGGGCAAGGAGGACAGGTGTTCAGGGCACACAGAGAGTTGGGGGGGGCGGGGCGGGGGGGAATAATAACAGAATAATGCTCTATGTCAGTGGTTCTCAACCTTCTGGCCCTTTAAATACAGTTCCTCATGTTGTGACCCAACCATAAAATTATTTTCGTTGCTACTTCATAACTGCAATGTTGCTACTGTTATGAATCGTAATGTTAATATCTGATATGCAGGATGGTCTTAGGCAACCCCTGTGAAAGGGTCGTTCGACCGCCAAAGGGGTCGCGACCCACAGGTTGAGAACCGCTGCTCTATGTGGTATTTTTGAGACTGGTGTGATATCATATGAAAAATTTGCAATGTTTCAAAGGGTTCCCTAAGCCAAGGCTGTCAGATCTTCATCTTGTTTCCAGCATCTCATGTCTACAGCAGATCTGAACATCTGGTTAGCCTTGAATGTCTAGACCCAGGTGTCTTCAATGCCCTCTGCACAGCTGGCTCTTAACCAAGTGTATGAATTGCAGCAATATTAGATAGGTTTAATTTGGGGGAGGAAGAAGCGGTTGAATCACATTGCTTTTTATGTGCTTAGGTGGCTGAGATAAAGGGTTGTTTCTGCCATAGTCGGCTTGATAAGAGCTATCTCCACTCCATTCTCCTTCTGATCCTGCAGCTGCTCAAAAGATCAAATAGAGCGTTCTTGGGGGTGTTCGGGGTGTTCGTTGGTTTTCCTACCGACACATCCACCTCCCTCAACAGAGCTCTCACCATTCATGAAAAAGGATCCCACTGACTCCCTCCTTTCTCAGGTCTCCCTGCAGCCTCCTTGGTAATTTCTCAGCAAGTGTGAGAGCCAGACTCTGGAAGGCCTTAGTTTTCAGAGTGTGGTCTGTAGGCCAGCAGCAACGGCACCACCTGGGAGCTTGTTAGAAGTACAAACTCTTGGGCCCCTCTATGACCCCGAGTCAGAATCTGCATTTAACATGATCCCCAGGTGATTAATAGGCTCATCAAGGTGTGAGAAGCCTGCTAAGGGACATCATCACCCTCTTCCACTGCACCATCCAGATGCTGAACTTTTCTGCTCTAGGAATTTCTTTCATTCAGCATGGACCCAACACCTATTAAGTACTGACACTAGGCTTGGTTGCTGGAGAAACAAATAAATAAGACATATCTCTTGAGGAGCTCATGGCCTGATAGGGGAAACAGACATGAAAACAATGATATGTGAGCTGTGTAAAAAATAAATAAATAAATAAATAAATAAATAAATAAATAAATATTAGAGGCCCAGTGCACTGGTGGGGTCCCTCAGGGTGGCCTGCGGGGATCGGGCTGAAACCCACAGTCCAATGCTGCCTGCC